GTCTCCAACAGTCTTCTGCGCAGCCTACACCACTCTCTGATATATATATATATATATATATAAAACTTGTGAAAAAAAAATTTAACACTTGCACTTATAGTGTTTCTTCTGCTAAATTTACCATTTCATACAATGTTGAAAAATAAGTTCAAAGTCACCAAAAAGACTATTGTAGCTCAATAAAAACGAACGCTGACAGGGGAAGTAAAGTCGTTCATCAAACTGCCCTCTGCCACTGCTGTTCTGGTAACACACGTCACAACTGAGGAGCTTTGAGAAGAAAAAGAGTTCAAACCTACCGTTGTTATGTACATGGTCTTCCAGCATCTCAGTCTTTAGGATGCTGCAGAGCTCAGATAGGGTTTCAAGGTGGATGATGTGGATGATCAGAGGCCGGAGAACATCATACAGTGACAAACATAACTTCTCTAGAAGCTCACTGTCAGAGATCAGAAAGAGAAGTGTCAATGCTTTGTACATCTTATACAGTTAAAAACGTTATATTTTCAATCTAAACTTTACATTAAATAATAAAGATTTAAACATTTTATCTGAATAGTAACTTGACAACCTATGTAGTTTACTAAAACTAACATTAGAAGAATCTTGAGATAGCTCAAAATGACGTTGCAAACGTTCCGCCTTAAGCAAACACAAAGTGCCTTTATTTGTGCTCTTGAACAACGGCTGTATGTGTTCAACATTCCTGTACCAGTTTGTTAGATGATACGTACTCTAGTTTCGGTGTTGGTTTGGAGAAGAATTCATTGTATAACTGGTGTTCATCCTGACACACATGGACCATAAAGGCACAGCCACTGCGAACCTGCAAAAAGGAAAAATAATCATAATTAATGACGAAATGACGGTGCCTACAAATATCTCCAAACAATCTTCAGGTCTGCTTCTACACAGAAAAGGAAGCAAAACTATTCCTATTTTACAAATAAGGAACAAGTGAAGGTATGCTAGCAACGTTCGGTCTCTACCAGTTAATGGACTTGTGAAGAATTTAAAAAAAGGGCAAATCTATTGACAGCTGCTGTAAACAGCAGTTCATTTATGTGTTGTGTGTTCATTTATCCTATGCCCTGCTTTGTGCTTCTACCAAACACACTTGAAAATTTCCCAGAGGATCCCATGCTATTCATTGTGCACAAACCGAAATGTCATCTTAAAATATCTAAAGGGCAGATGCAGCTTTGAACTTGTCAAGCCTTACCAGAGCACAGTGGTCTTTGTTGTTTTGCTTGGTTAAGTCGGTAATGGTGGATGTAATGCAGGGGTTGAGAAGCTGCTCTCTCTGGTCAAGATAGCACTGATGGATTTCATCTAAGAGGTGCTGGTATCTGTTTAAACCAGTAGAAAAATGACTCAATTCAGAGACTTGGAGAAACAACGTTAATTATAAAGAAGCTAATTCTACTGCTTTGATTTAAAAAAAAAAAAAAATGTAAAACTCACTCAGGAATCTTCTGTGATCGCTGCTCTATCTGTTCAATCAGTGACTGAAAGCAGAAAATGTGAATAAAAAATTAAAAACTAATTTAAAAACTCCAAAAAAGTTCAATCTGGTCCTCTGGACATTCAAAAAAAAAAAAAAAAAAATCAAAGCAAAAAATGTTTTTTTTTTTTTGAATGTCCAGAGGACCAGATTGAACTTTTTTGGATGTTTCTACCTGGATTATTGAGCATGCATCAGGATAATTTAAAAACTGCTGTGTTGCTGCTCATAATTGTTATACTCACTCTAACTTTGGGCGCAGCAGCTCGAAACTTGACATAATAAAGTGTAAAGGCATTATCTGCATTTGTCAAACCTGTAGGATCCTGGGGAAAACAGAAACAAAACAATCTAATATAAATTTTTAACGTCACGTTTTCATGAGTCAAATAAAGTTACAGCTTCCATTTCCTAACGGCAACAATTAAGGTAATTGACCAAGTTGAAAATAGAATCTATATAAATAGCTGTTCAAAAAAATGCATAAAATCTTGTTTTCAGGGCCTTAATTATATTTTTACTCTGAGATGTGAACAATTACCACAATATTGTTTAGTGTCTTATTATTCTGATTAGTATTCATGTCTACATCTAAAATAAAAATAACTGTTAAAGCCAGCAAATCATCTAAATAAAGATTTTTGTTAACGTTTATGATTAAGCCATCCTGTTTTAGAGGGGAAAAAGCAAGTAAAGATGGCAGCAGGAGAGCAGTATATGCATACTCTATTTTTACAAGCTGTAACACATGTGCAGAAAACTGGAATCTACATCTTCAAAAATCACAGAAAAGAAAAATCTATTGTGCACAAAACAAATAAAATAGAATCATAAATACTGAATTGTATTCTTACCCTTTTTGTTAACTGGCTTGTGAGAGATTGCATAGTGTTTACAATGTAGACCTTCATGAAGTGCATAGCTTTAGAGAGACATTGCTTAAACTTGGACAAATAAACTGGATAATCCTTAAAATTAGGCTGTAATAAACAGAAAAATAGCAAGTATTATGCATTTTTAACATGCATACAGTGAGGAAAATAAGTATTTGAACACCCTGCAACTTTTCAAGTTCTCCCATTTAAAAATCATGGAGGGGTCTGAAATTTTCATCTTAGGTGCATGTCCACTGTGAGACATTAAAAAAAATCCGGAAATCACAATATATGATTTTTTAATAATGTATTTGTGTTACTACTGCAAATAAGTATTTGAACACCTGCCAATCAGCAACAATTCTGGTCCTCAAAGACCTGTTAGTCCGCCTCTAAAACGTCCACCTCCACTCCACTGATTATTCTAAATTAGAAGCACCTGTTTGAGGTCGTTAGCTGCATAAAGACACCTGTCCACCCCACACAGTCAGTAAGACTCCAACTACTAACATGGTTAAGACCAAAGAGCTGTCCAAAGACACCAGAGACTGATAAAGTTAGAATAAAATGTTAATAATGTTAATAATATAATACATTGTTTGGCAGGAAGGGAATGGGGAGCAACTAGGAAATCCTTAATAAATATATATATCAATCTCTTATGAGATCAGCAATGGATTATGGCAGCATCGGTTATTTGGTAACAGCAGAAACAGATTTAAAGTTTCTTGATATAGAGCAATCAAAAGCACTCAGAATATGCAGTAGAGCATTTAGAACGTCACCAATTGCAGCTTTCCAGGTAGAAATGGAGGAAATGCCTTTAAGACTCAGAAGATTAAAACAAATGTTGGTATATTGGGTTACTGTTAAAGGACATAGTCAATCTCATCCTATTCATAAAATATTACAAGAATGTTGGGAGCATCAAAAAACGGATATCTATAGTTTTGGCTGGATAGTCAAGTCAAGTCAAGTCATCTTTATTTGTAGAGCACAATTTAAAACAGATAAACTGTTATTAAAGTGCTTAAATATAGGGATAGGGATAGGGAATATAAAAGCTGAGTATGCAGGATTACATGAAATAAACATATGTCCTACAGTTATTTTTCCTAACATCCCACATTTACTAACCCCTCTGTTGATCTATCTTTACACAACTTAATTAAAAATAAAGGAAAGCATACCTCAGAACATTTATTAGTGCAACAATTCATCAATAAACAATATAGGAATAAGATTATAATATTTACAGATGGCTCGAAAGATCCCGAGTCAGGATGTACTGGAGCAGCAATATATATACCAAACCAAAATATAGAGATAAAGAAAAGAACAACCGATAATTTGACAGTGTACTCAGTAGAATTATTAGCAATACTTATGGGTTTAGAGTGGATAGAAAAACATAATGATAAAAAATATGTAATAGCATCAGATAGCATGGCAGCTTTATTAAGCATCAATTCAAATAACTCAAAAAGAAAAGACATAATTGACAGGATCCACCACATTTTGTATACACTTGACATGAGGCAGATATCTATAGACTTTTTTTGGGTTCCGGCACATGTGGGAGTGGAGGGTAATGAAGGTTCAGACATTTTAGCAAAACAGGCAGTAAAATTAAAAAAATATTAATTACGACATACCACTATGTAAAGACAAATGTAAAATGATAATAAATACATATATTAAGAAAATATGGCAGGAGAACTGGGACATAACTGACACAGGAAGACATTTGCATAACATACAGGAAAAAGTAGGTTATACAAGAAAAACAGGGATTAACGGGAGATTAGAATCAATAATTACTCGAATTAGAATAGAACACACTGGACTTAATAAATCTCTGAAAATAATTGGTAAACATGCAACGGGAGGGACTATAACAAATGCACCAGCAATGTCCCTGAAACAGTTCAACATGTCATTATGAATGTCCTGGGTATAACGCAGAAAGAAAACTTCTCCAAAAAGAAATAAATAAAATGAATATTCAATTTACAATTGGAGCTGTTTTTAGTAGTAATATCAGCAAAGTTAAAAACCAAATTGGTATTTTCTTGAGGGATACAAACTTAATGGAAAGAATTTAGTTGAGGTGCTAAATTAATTTCACAGAATTAGTTTTGTTTTTTGTTTTTTTATCTCCTGTCCACACTCCAGCTCAGTAGGTGGCGGTAATGCACCTTACGTTGGTCTGTCAACCGCCAAAAAACAAAACAAGAAGAAGAAGAAGACACCAGAGACAAAATTGTAGACCTCCACAAGGCTGGAAATGGCTACGGGGCAATTGCCAAGCAGTTTGTTGAAAAAAAGATCAACTGTTGGAGCAATTATTAGAAAATGGAAGAAGCTAAACATGACTGTCAATCTCCCTCGGACTGGGGCTCCATGAAAGATCTCACCTCGTGGCGTATCAATGATCCTAAGAAAGGTGAGGAATCAGCCCAGAACTACATGGGAGGAGCTGGTCAATGACCTGAAGAGAGCTGGCACCACCGTTTCCAAGGTTACTGTGGCTAATACACTAAGACGTCATAGTTTAAAATCATGCATGGCCCGGAAGGTTCCCTTGCTTAAATCAGCACACGTCTTAAGTTTGCCCATGACCATTTGGATGATCCAGAGGAGTCATGGGAGAAAGTTATGTGGTCAGATGAGACCAAAATACAACTTTTTGGTCTTAATTCCACTCGCCTCAGTTAGAGCATTGAAGATGGGTCGTGGCTGGGTCTTCCAACATGACAATAACCTGAAGCACACAGCCAGGAGAACCAAGGAGTGGCTCCGTAAGAAACATATCAAGGTTCTGGAGTGGCCTAGCCAGTCTCGAGACCTAAACCCTATAGAAAATCTTTGGAGGGAGCTCAAACTCTGTGTTTCTCAGTGGCAGCCCAGAAACCTGGCTGATCTAGAGAAGATCCGTGTGGAGGAATGGGCCAAAATCTCTGCTGCAGTAAACCTGGTGAAAAACTACAGGAAACCTTTGACCTCTGTAACTGCAAACAAAGACTACTGTACCAAATACTAACATTGATTTTCACAGGTGTTCAAATACTTATTTGCAGCAGTAACACACAAATAAATTATTTTTAAAAAAATCATACATTGTGATTTCCAGATGTTTTTTTTTTAGATTATGTCTCTCACAGTGGACATGCACTTAAGATGAAAATTTCAGACCCCTCCATGATTTCTAAGTGGGAGAACTTGCAAAGTTGCAGGGTGTTCAAATACGTATTTCCATCAATGTAGAACAGTTTAAAAAAAAAGCATAGAAGAATAGTGTTTATAATGCAGAATAACATTACATTAATGGAAGTATTACTTAAAAAAGGACATCCAAACACCAATAAACATGACTGAGTATACATTTTCTATTCTATTCCAGGTATTCAAAAGTGTAAAAGAAATTAGAGAAAGCAAAAAAGTGAGGGTGTGTCACTTACATGCGAGGAAATATATTCTATGCAGTCATCCAACTTGGACAACATTGGTATAAAACCTTCACTATTTACAGATAAAGTTGGAGAATTTAATTTCTGCAAAAACAAAAGAATCAAATTAGGCGTAAAAACATTTTAAATGTTAAGTCAACCACAATGATTATGCATCAAAACACTTTACCAACTGTGCTACTTGTATTTTAAAAAGCTGTTAGATTGTTTAGTGCTTTAGTTGTTTTGGATTAAAAATATGTAAATGTAGATGGAAAACAAGTTATTTTAGAATAAATACTTTATAGGAAAATACAACATCCAGCAGCAGCTACAAACACAATATGACATGGAGGCTCTACAAAAAACTCTTTAAAACCATAATTATACCTTTAAAACTCCCTGCTAAAAACTACTTAACTACCTGAAAAAAAATAAGAAAAAAACTATAAACATTACCTAACAAGATATTCCATGCAATAACCAGCTACCTCCCATAATAAATAAATTAATGAAAGCTATAAATAGGAACTATAAATAAACCCAACTTTGCACCCTTGCACAAATCCAAGTGCCAACCAGAGAATCTGTTTATAAGTGTAAGTGCTATATGTTGTCATCATTGTACGTTCCAATAAGATGAAATTAGTTCTCTGTATTAACCCATCACACTTGGCATACACCCAGGTGGAGCAGTGGGCAGCTAATGACCGCCCGGGGAGCAATTAGGGATTAGGTGTCTTGCTCAAAGAACCCACGAATGTGGGAATGGCTGGGAGTTGAACCGTGACTTTCTGGTCCCAAGTTGGCTGCCCTACCTCTACCCTATCTCGACCCCCCCCAAAACCAAAGGTTTACCTAAATAATTTGGTGTAACCTGATGCAAACGGTCACCAAATCCCCACCCCACCCCTGCCAACCCAACGCTGTACAATCAATCGTATGGCCAGGAGGACAAGAGTTCTTCAGTTGCTTGGTGGAACAAGACAGTGACAGCAGTCTGGGTCTCAACATACTCTGCTTGCTGAAGATGTGGTGCAGAGGGTGGGAGGCATCGTTCAAAATGGAGCAGGTTTTGTCCAGGGTCCTTCTCTCTGATACAGTCAGTAGAAGGTCCAGCTTGGTCCCCATCAATGAACAAGCTCCCCTCACCAGTCTACAGGCATCTCTGACTCTTTCTGAAGATGCTGTCCAGTCCAGTCTGTCATCCAGCAGCAGTCCCAGGTATTTATAGGTTCTGACCACCTCCACATTTCACACCTCACATCATTCAGGCTTATCTTGCAAATGAGTCCCCAAGGCTCAATGGGATTTGCCTATATAAATAAAGGTTGAATGAAACATCTGCCCCACTGATGGAAACAGGTAGAAGTGTGGGCTTGTTCCTACAGAAGTCCACCTCCATTGCTTTGGTTTTGGTGTTCAACTACAGCTGGTTCTCTCCACACCATTCCACAAAGCCCTTCACCAGACTCCTGTACTCTTCCTCCTGTCTATCTCTGATGCACCCAACTATCACAGAGTCATCAGAGTATTTCTGAATGTGACAGAGCTCAGAGTGACACAGGAAGTCAGCTGTATACAGAGTGAACAGTAAAGGGGAGAGCACAGTGACCTGTGCTGCTCCGGTGCTGCTCAGCACAGTATCAGACATTCAGTTCTTTAGCCTGACAAACTGTGGACTATCTGTGAAGTGGTCTGGAGTCCATCTCATCCCAATCGCAGGCTAATCTCTCCTAACATCTGTGCCACCACTCCCAGGTGCTGGAAAAGTCAAAGAACATGATTCTTACTGCTGTTCTCTCTATCCAGGGAAGAATGTGCAGCAGAAACAGAGCTGCGTCTTCAATGCCCACCTTTGCTCGGTAGCCAAATTGTATTGGTCTTGTGCATGATGGACTTGGGGTCAGAAGAGATGGAACAGCAGCTGTTCAAAGGTCTTCATGACATGTAATGGTAGAGACTGGCCTGTAGTCTACTGGTTCCTGGGGGTGTTTTTCTTGAGGATAGGAACGATACAGGATGTGTTCCATAGAGAGGGGACCCTCCCCTGCCGCAAGACCAGGTTAAAGATATGCTGCAGTGGCTCCCCCAGTTCAGCAGCACAGGCTTTCAGCATACTTGGACACACCCTGTCCGGACCTGCTGCCTTCCTGGGAAACAGTCTCCTCAGCTCTCTGCTAGCCTGGTCCTTGATAATGTAGGGGGGAGTGGGTGCTACTGCAGAAGGGGTGGATCTTGCCTTCCATGCTAGAGTGTGGTGATGGTAATATTTGGTGGGATGGGGAGAATGAAGAAGTGCTGGGGGAGGGCAGGCATTGAGTGCAGCTACTGAGTGGTCAAACTAATTGAAGAAAAGGAATTGGTTTGCTCTTCTCTTTCCCCTCCATCTCTGTGGTGTTGTCCATTCGTTGCAGCTTGTAATCGTTTTCATACCATCCCAGAGCTCCCTCATGTTGTTTCTCTGCAATTTCTGTTCCAACTTTCTTCTATGCATGTCCTTGATCTCCCTGATTGGGTTTTAAGTTCCTGTTGCATCCATTTCAGCTCAGCTTTAGCACATTTTTTAAACTAGAACATGACACCTAATCTTTATAATCAACAGTGGCCAACACGTAATACATATATTACAGTTATGAAACAACAAAAAGAAAAAACTCAACTTACCGTGTTTATGTTTTCTAGTTCATTAAAATATGACAATTTTTGCTGAATGTTCTCTGCGAGGTCAACAAGTTCTGACTGTGAGGAGAAAAAAAACAAAAAAAACGTAAACAGTTAAACTACCCTATGTGATAACATTAAAACTTCTGATTAGAGTTGCAGCCTACATGCGTTTGTAACTTGCATGAGCAGCTTGCAAATAAAATCAGTTTTAATAAGATATGAGAACAGCACAGTAAATGCTGCTTAAGAGGAATATATAACCAGGTTAATCTTTATTCTAATTATATTGCTCTGAGTTTGACAGCATACAGTATTTCCAGTCTTCAACAATGATCCTTAACAACTGAATGAATACGATCTAGATTTTTTTCAGAAAATACAAATTATTTATAATTATCTTGGTTTTCCAAAACTGAAATTAAAGACCATTTTGAGAGACATACTTTGTGCTCATGAGCAAACTGTTTATGTCACTGTTGCACTGCAGATGTCAACACCAAGTTCACCTTACTTGTTCTTTGAGGAGCTGTTCACAGGCCTCATGTAGGGCACCAGTCTTATTGGACACAAACAGGTACTGCTTCTGAAGAGAATCCAAGTGTTCAAGAGCTACACTGACATCTTTCAGAATAGCATCACATTGTTCCTGGTAGCAGTTTAAATCATCTCTTGTTCTCCTGAAGGAAACAAAGGCATTTGTATGCTTTACACAAAACAAGACACAGCAAAGCCGCTGAGGGTTACACTTTTCATGTAGGGCCATCACAATAATAAGACATAATAACGCAGTTCACTTCTATTAACTAGATATGACCAAAAAAAAAGAAAAGGTGACAACAAATCTGTGGGCGTATTCAACACAAACACTTGAGCCAGGCCCAGTTTGTTTCTGCACATAGGCATAAAAAAAAGTGGATTCACCACGAATTCTCCTCCAAAAGCCAGAAATAGAAAAAAGTTTAAGTAAAGTCTAAGGCACCTGTATTTTGTGCTCTCATCCAGGTCCATGCTCGACTGTAACTTCGCAAAGCAGGCAAAAAACTGCAAGAAGAAAATTTGCATCATGTTACAACCTTATATCTCATTACGTAGTAATAACTGGCCAGGAATTGTTTACAGAAAACCAAACCAATCACCTGCTGTGCAGTTTCTATCCTATCATTTTCCATATCTAGCTTCTGAAATCCTTTGAGCAGGGTGTCTTCTGTAGAAGCAGGCACAGTTGCTGTTAAAGAAGACTGCAAGGACCGAGACGACAGGCTGCACAAGTCTTCAATGGGTAACTGCGGAACGAAACAAGGGTCTTTAGTCTTTAAGTTTAAATTGAAGCTAACTAGCTAAATAGCTTTACAGGCAGGACCGCGAATGTAAACAGATAAAAGTATCCCACAAGCAAGAAACGTTGCTAAATTTACTTGGATATGATGTTAACATGACAGGGAAATACATAAAGTTCATACAAGGTAGTTTCAAAGGAGTTAACCTCCCCTGCGTTTAAAAAGTAAGTTAGCGTCCTTGTTAGCATGCTAACTGTGTTCACAGTCTTAGCTCACCTCTGAGGGAATAGAGAGTGTTTCAGCTGCGGTTCGGATCTCCAGGACAGAGTCCATCTGCTTCTCCGTCAGGGGAGCCATGGCATCCGTGCGGCGGTCCCACAAGGAGAGTTTCTCCCGGGTTTCCTTGTCTGTTAGGTCCAAAAGCGACTGATCCTTGGACGCCATCGCTCAGTTTAGACAGCATCAACGTCAGCAGCAACAACGCGCGGGTACTTCCTGTTCCGGGAGTGTGGGCGGGGCTTGAGTGAAGGCTGGTCCAATGGCAAAGCTGTGTTTTCCTTACCGTGAATAAACGATTCAGAGCATGACTGGAGAGTGGGAGAAAGTTTTACGAAATATATTTACTTATCTTTTTATTATAGGGAAGTTTGCTTGAATATTTTTGTGTGCTAAACTATATAAAAATAAAAAATGCTTTCCAACTTATTTTTTATATCTCACAAAAAAACAGTAGTGACTTTTAGCTCTACAGTATATGAATGGCAGCAGCTCCTTTAAAATGTGATCTGTTCCCCTTTTACTAATTGTTTTAGTTTAATCGATTTGACTGATTTAACACATTAGCACGTTTTAAAAGTTAGAGGGGGGAAAATAAATAAAATAACAAAAATAAAATATTTATTTAACTATTACCCAATTTTTGTGGAACCTCACAAGAAACAAGATTAAACTTTTCAGTATAGGATGCCCAGCATGAAACAAGCATAAAGCACTGATAATATCCCTCATGTAAGTTAGGTAGTTAGTTTTACATACCAACTCCTCTGCCCATATTATATTACAGTATGTGTGACATATTTTTTATTGTGATACATACAATTCTTCCAAAAAAAAAAAAAAAAAGTTTTATCACCCACTTGTGACACTAAAAACCTTGTAGATAATGACACAAAACATGTTGAAAGGGTCTTAATTTTTATGTTCCTCTAATCAACTTTCAAAAAGTGAATGTCTCAGGTTGTCTTCTAGTTTTATGTTATCTGTTTTTGTCAATAAAATATGTTATTTAATACTTTCTCTTTTTAATTTCCTTCCTCCTTTTAACACCAGTGAAAAGTGGGAGAATATATCAAACTGAATTGCCCAAATTATCCTAACTGGGACATTTGTACCTGCCAGGTACTTACGAAGTAATTATCCTAAACTCTCATATTTATCTAATAAGGCTTTCATGTTTGATTTGCCTTGAGCAAAATTTACCTTATGAATTACAACTTAAACCCATTATGTCACAACGTCAAAACGTACATGTCAAGGTAAACACACTGAATGCAGATGGTTCTGGGAAGGATAGATATGGCAGCCTGCTTTATTTATCAAACTTAAAAAAAAAAATCCAGTAGATGGAGCACTGAGAAATGTTCCCAAACCTTTGTATTCAATAAGGGTTCCAATGTGTTTTAATTGTTTTTGTTTTACTGTTTAAAGTAAAATGGAATGTCTCATTTCACAAAATAAAATAAAAAAAACAAATAAATTGCCATAAATGCAAAAAAAAAAAAAAAAAAAATCCTTACTTTATTATTATTATTTTACTATTTGGATATATGCAAATTTGAAAAAGGCAGGAAAAATACCCTAACTATATGGAAAGTCAAATACTGTAATAATAGAGTTGTAAATAAATCTATAAATCACATTATGAATGTCTTTTATATATGGCTTGCATTTTACTTTATGAAACATCTTTTGCACAATAAAAAAAAATACTTTTATACTACTCACCTTTTTATCCATGTTACAAAGGCTTCTTTTTATTTAAATCTTTACACTTTTATATTTAAAATGTCTTAATTGTAATTCAGTCATTTTCCTGCACTGCTGTCATTTTTAAATATTTCATCAGTTTATTTCCACAATTTTATAAATTCAGTCAAAAGATAAATTATTTGGGACTTTATGTTGCAGCCTTTACATGTGGAAATGAACAAATCAGAAAATCTAGGTCTGATGGCATTACACAGAGGAGGAGGAGGTGCTGATGTATTACAGCTTTGTCTGCAGGGTGTCTCTTGGGCAGGTCACGCAGAGTTCAGATATAGTTTTTTTTCCTCCCGCTTCATCTTCTTTGTTGAAAGGAGACGCTGCAGAATTCAAGCCACATTACTCCGGCACAAAAAGGCACGTCAGAGGGAATCTCGTCAGAGGTGGTATTTTGGCTCGGCATGGGTCAGAGAGGATCTCGTATGGCAGAAAAACTGACACTTCTCACTGTGGCCGTGGTGTTTTCATTATGTTGTGAAAACACGTCCGAGCACAAATGGGAAATCCTAAATAAATGGGTGTTAACGCCAATCGCTCGTTGTATGAAATTATCATCTCTGTCACACATATGTGTAGCTGTAACACCAGATACAAGAACAAAAGAGGAAGGTCACAGGTGATAACATGAACTTTTATTACAACTTGGTAAAAAAAAAAAAAAAAAGCTCAATGGGAAACTGCATTGAAACCTTGAAGTTGCTGTAATATGAAGAAGACTAATCTTAAATTGTGGTTAAGCAATAGCAGATTATAAATACAAAAACATTAACAGATTTTAATCCAACCTTGTGAAGAAAACTGCTCTATCATTACTGGAACAATTGAACTCCCTTTTCTGTTAAATAAAACCAACTGAATAAATGTGTTATGGCTGATTATTGCTTAGAAAAAGTGCTATCAAGTCAAAAAATATTTCAAACAGACTGTATTAAAAATACCTACAAATCAATAGTCCTGCACGTGAAATCATCCCTTTGTTACTTTAGTATTATCATTCTTAATAAGAAGCTTAAAAATAATAATAATAAATACTCTTAGGTTCATTTAAAAATAGCTACTCAAAAAAATTAGGCAAGTTCTAAAACAACTCGGCAGAGTCCTGTACATAAATGTGCAATGCAAAGAAAAAATATATTCACAAGTGCCTTAAGTTTAATTAAATAATTCCAATTAATTTCAACATAGGCTTTTAGGAACATTGGACGTCTGGCTTCCTTTTGCGGATACAAAAAAATATCAAGTAGGAAATGGTTTGTCAGTGGTTGTAGTCTGTATCCTCCAAGTAATCTGGGATGGGCAGTCCACTGAGGACTGTCAAACATCTGTTCCACACGTTGAACACTGGGCAGACTGGCTGAGCGAAGCTGATGTCGAATGTGTGCAAGTGCAGAGAGCCAACAGCGTCGTAGAACGACAGAGATCCCAAATCGTAATCCAGCAGCACTCCGAGACGCCGAAGGTGCGGTGAAGGCTCGATGGGGACCTCCTTACTGTTGTGCCGTACCACCCATGAGTTGTTGCAGCGGGACAGCACCCAGGAGGCTGAGTTTTTGCCGACCCACTCGTGTTTTGGTGCCGACTTGTATGCAACCCCCACGGCAAACCTGCAAATGTCAATAAACAGTAAAAAATAAGAGAATTACAGCTAAATGATAACGCAATAATAAACACCAAATTTCATGGAATCTCATAGTTCTGATGATCACTCAACAAGAAAATGAAGGCTAACATTTTATTCTTCAAAGCCAAAGCTACAGTAATGATCGGCCACATATTCGTTTAAAACACGGACACAAATGGTTCTCACCTATCACCAGATTGAAATTGTGAGAATCTGTGATCTGTTTTGTGTTATTTCTTTAGATTATTGTGTTTATAATGTTAGTATAGTTATCTAGACTGCCCTTGGGTTTTTTGATCCGCTCAGAGACGGAATTATAATCAATTTATAACCTGGTTCTGACTGGTTTAAACGGGGCCAGCAACTCTAAAAAGAGTCTCTCAGGGATTCAATATCCGTCAAGGAATAGTTTATTTTGCTTGCTACATCACGCAGAAAAGGCTTTTTAAGCACCGTCTCATTTTTTTCCTATCACGTTAACTCCCATAAGGTCCAAAAGAGTCCCTCCCCTCATACACTGATAAGTTGTGCTCTCATTCTGCGAAGGAGGAGTCTAGGCCCTATACATCTGTAATGCCACGGGACATCCGGTCCTTACGGTTCCTGATCTCGCGTCGTAGACCAGACTGGCCAGCGCTGTAAACTGTAACCTTATCCTGCCTTGATTTTAGTAGTATACCGTATTAGTTTACATTATTAGAGTTTAGTGACTATCTTAGATCTTTAACGTATTGTTTAGCATTTGTTTAGCATTCATCTTAGTGAATATCTTCAAGTTCAAGTATCATTCGCACCATATGTTGTGCATGAGGTGGAACAAAATTGTGTACACAGGGTCCCAGTTACACCCATCTTAGATCCTTATACACGGTTTCTATTTATACTTTATATTTTTGCTATTTTGCGTGAAACTGGGACCCTGAGTGCACAATTCCGTTCCACCTCATGTATCACATGTGATGCGAATGACAATAAAGGAACTTGAACTTGTTTCTTCCTTCATGTTGTCAGCTCCTGCTTCACCTGCTCCCAACCCCAGTCACCCGAGGTGTTCGTCATTATGTCTCGTGAGTGTCTCTTTAAGTTCAGCGTCTCTCTGTGTCCTGGTTATCCGTGTTTTGTGCTTCCCACAGCCGTTCATGCACTGTATCCCCTCGTGATTACTATTCATGTAAGTTTTTGCTGCCGTGTCAGCTTTTTTGTTTTGGATGTTATAACTTTCTTTATTTTTTACCTCTGAGTTCCTCGACTCTTTCTGCACCTTGGGTTCAACAAACGCAGAACATGATAGAAATACAGTCGGAGGTTTGCACTGATTTGCTTGTCTGCTGACCATATAGAGGTGACTGTAAAAAAAATTAAAACATCTAGCTACGTTGAAAGATTTTTCAATTACACTCTGCTATAAATACATAAAAAAAGCTTTGTAAAATTTGTTTTATTTACTTTAAAACTCAATAAATTCTTTCTTTTTAGTTATCTATTTTAAATTGCTTTGCTTTTATTTGACTGCTTTAAGGGCCAGATGGAAATCAATCAAGGGCCACGTCTGGCCCTCAGACATTATTTTGCTCACTTTCAAAGGCAAAGCAACTTAACTAAAAAACATTAAATGTTTTTTTTACCATGTGCTGCCTCCTATCAGAGCCTCCCAGTAATGGCGGCCGCTGTCAATGTAGACATTTCCCGTGACGCCGTAGCTGCTGTGACTGGAGAAGCGGTCCTGACTGTGGCTCTTCTTGGACGATGTCTCATCCCTCTCCACCGTGAGGTTGTCATGGGACACTCTCAGCTTCCGGTGAGCAGACTTTGGGTCCAGTTTAAATGGCTGACCTTAAAAATAAATAAATAAATAAGCATAAATAGTGTTTACTGCTGTTTTACAATTCCATTCTCCTAACCTCCAACATAATTTTCAACTTGAGTACGTCTGTGCAGCTGAAGACGTACTGTTGGTCTTGAGTTTCCCTGGAGCACTGCTGCGGTTTCCAGCCTGGTTTATAGCCTTCGCTATGAAAATGTACTTGGTGCCACTCTGGAGTCCGTGCACGGTGTACTGATTCTGCTTGATGTTTGGGACAATCATCCAGCTATCCACAGAGTTACACAAGCCTGCAGTCCAGAGACACAAAAAGTCACTGACAAAGAACAAGCAATTAATCATTAGCTTAGTTAGTAGAATTACTGTGATTTTTTAATTTAGTGCTGCTTTCTTTGACTCATTGAATACAATTTCATTAGCACTCATGCACGCGTGCAGAGGCACTGAGGCAGACAGGAAAACATTGCTCGCTTGAGCACATTGTGACCATATTAAGGGGATAAATTCAAGAGGCTGCTGCTCATTTTCCACCCCGAGACAATATCAAACTCACTGTGTGCATCTGGATATCTATCCAGTCTGACTTTTAATTGTCTGCCTTGTTCGTCACAAAAAAGTTGCATCGTTTTTTTTTTTTTTTCTTTTGTAAACCCGATGACTTGTTGGAAACAAGATAAAGCTCTCCGCTGCTTTACTTTTAACTTACAGGTTTTCATAGATATCCTTACATCAATGTTAAGTTTTGGCAAAAAAAATAAAAATACACTCACAAAAATTACAATGTGAACTTACTGACAACATTAGATTGGCTGGTAAAGATGGCGTACTGAAGTTCATATGATACAACAGAAAATTCATCATCTGATGTCCAGTGAGCTGTGATCGTGTCATACGAGGCCGTGCAAAGTTCCTCACGAATTACTGGTGGATTTGGTGCTGCAAAGACAAAACAAAATCCACATGAGTACCGTATTTTTTGCCCTATAGGTAGCAGTTTTTCGCATAATTTGCATGCCCTGCGACTTATACGTTGAAGCAACATATTTATGGATTTTCTCCATATTTATAAACCAATTTTTGCTGAGATATAACCGTTTTTATTCATTTTGACTGAAAATATTGAAAACTATCATGTTCAGCCATTAGATGGCAGTCGAGCAGTATGCCATGCCGTTGTATCATGTAATAGGTAAAAGTGGCTATTAATGACACAATCGGCTTGCCATCGATTGCCACCGTCGTCTGCCTGGAGCAACTGTCTAATCAGCTTCATTTTGCTGCGCTGCCCCGGCGAAATGAAGCTGATTTGACCATTGAAGTTCATTAATTCAGTAAAAGTTCAACTGAGACACACCTTTACTATAAAGTCGAGCAAACAGATAATTATTTGAGGTGGTTATCTTGTTAAATTTTGAAGAAATGGACAGCGAGTCACGCTGTGCGTGTTCATGGTTCCACGTATCGACTTTTGAAATGCAGCTGATTTGACCCTCCAAGTGCATTTATTAAGTAAAAGTTAGACTGAGACACACCTTTGCTATAATTTCAAGCAAACAAATAATTATTTTTAAGTGTTTATCTTGTTCAATTCTTGTTAAAGTCCTCTCATGAACGATCCCGCGGTCGCCATTTGGCAGCCAATCAATTTTTGGCACAACATCGGACCACATTTTCGGGTTGTCAGCTGTGACGTGTAACAAACGCGACATGTCAGCGGTGATGCATTATAGATGCGACTTGTACAGCGAAGCAATGTATTTATGGATTTTTCCACTTTATTAGACATATTTGGACTGATGCGACTTATAGGGCGGTGCAACGTTTATAGTGGAAAATACGGTAATGAAAGTTATAAAAGCCCAAGATAAAAGTGGTGAACAAACAAAAATTCCCCAGCAACGACTGGAAGAGAAATATCACCATGACATTAGTTTTGTTTTTCCTTTTTGTTGTTTGACAAGTGCAATCAATCCGCGCTGGAGTTCCTCCAGCTATTGCGACTACAGCTGCCACGCAGAAGTGAATTCTCACTGCTCAGCAGGAGCAGAATATAAACAATCAAAACTGGTTTCATTCTGCAGAAACTAAGGCTACTGCTGCCAAGAACAGCAAGCTTTTTATTTGCCTACAACTCAGTAACATAACTGAAAACTAAACCACCATGCCAAAGCCTTTAAAATGTCCCAGTCCATGATTCAGATACAATGTGTGGATAATTTATTGAGCATGTTTGAATACAGAAACCAAACAACTCATTTAACAATAAATTATTGTCCAACTGCAAATTACAAAGCGGTGGGATGATTAGACTCATTATAAAACAAGCAGGGAATTAATTGCACTCATTTATATTCAGGCAGTAAAATACTGACTTGACTCACCTGTTAAGTAATCTAAACTTTCTAGCATTTTCTTCTCCCTCGTGAAGTCCAAAGCAAACGTATCAAAGGCGTCATTTAGGTTTATTTCTGGTAACAGTATTTGTGATGATGCTGTGGCCATCGACACTCTGCCATGAAGGAGGACATCAGTTAGATGGTGCCTTCACTGTACCTTAGTTGGATCTCACTGTGTCCTCACCTCTCACAGATACTTTTAGCTGTTTGAAGGAAACGGGCGTGGTCGCTCTCTTTGAGGGTTTGGTCGGCCTGAGTGATGAGGGAGGAGGACCTCTCGATGCACTGCTTACAGCCGGCAATTTGTTGCGCTAGCTTCCTCAGCCTCATGGCCTAAACAGAAAAGTTGATATCCAGAAAGTTTAATGCTATAAGTAACAAATCAATGTTCAGTGTGTGAACCTGATGCTAGATTTTGTTGCTGGGAGGAAAAAAACAAATTTACTGTGCAGTTGTGACAAATGTAATTTGTAGCCTCACTCAGCTAAACTGGTATTAAAGGTTTATTTAAGAGACATTCCTAATAGTGTTGACAGTGATAGGAGATCCTCTTAAAGTGGCTGAGCAGCTAAGAGCAAATTCACAACCTGTCAGAAACGATGAGGCAAGGAAGGAACGAGAGCAGAGCTGAGTTCACGCTGTTAGCAAAAATGACACAACATAAAACCAAATGCCTGAAGATATTTAACAAGAGTAAAGGAAGCAAAATGATTCAATTTTTTTAATATACATCAGGTATATTCAGTGTGTGATCAAATATAAGAGTACAGCTAAAGAGCATCAATTTGAAGAAATTAGCTTTAAATTTGATCAGATTGCTGAGCTAATGGTTCTTCTGAGCCAAGACAAAATCACAATGCTCTTGTCTTAAAATCACTTTGATCTCAAAAGTTTCTAAGTTGTTAAAGTGATTGATATTTTATAAACCCGGGGAATGCCTGACTGAATACCCTGACTGCAGGGTGATTTGATCGTGACCTTCCTCGGACTAACCATCAATTCATCCATTTGGGCCTATTAAACTTTATTTCCACAAACTGCGGCTGCTTAAACAGTTTTCTACAAGTATTTTTTTCATAAACTATTCAGAGAACCCAACATAAAAATATTATTTTAAGACTTAAAGAAAAAAAACAAAATCAAACTTAGTTTGCAATAGCCCTCAAAATCAATTCATTTTCTGCAAACTACTAAAATTAAATAGATTACTAGATAATTAAAAAAACAACAACAAAGACACACTTTTCTATTGTTCTTTAGGGTAAGACTACAAAACGTAAATCAAAGATATAGTAATATATAACTGCAGCTCATCTATTTCACCTCCATCCCCAGTTTGGTCGTTTTTCACTGTTGATTATAAAGATAACTAAACGAAACTGCAAAGTACATTGAAGCCATTCCCACTGAAGTACTAAATAGCAGGTTCATAACTTTAAAAAAAGTGCTTTTTTTAAAGAAGTCACATTAACCGCAGACCAGTCTTTGCTGTGCATGTGAATGTGGACTTCCTCCCAACCTAAACACAACGCTAAAACAACACTCCAGTGGTCAAACGGTCAAAATGCAGAACTGTCTCATCCAACCTGAAGGAGAAGGAACAGTTTGTCATGAACAGACTTGATGAACCACGTCCATGAAGGTGTACCTGAGCAGCTGTAAGAGGTGGTTCTACATCTACAAAGTCTCAACTTTAGGGGGATAACATATCACGTTTTAGTTTATATTTTTTGGTTTAAATACTTTTTCACCATCAAGTTTTTTAATAACTTAAAGCATTTTTCGTCGAGTAATTACTTAAGATCAAATTTAAAATCCAATGACAATCCATGCAGTAATTCAATTCAATTCAGTTTATTTCTATAGCGCCAAGTCACAACAGAAGTCACGTCAGGGCACTGAACAGAAACATTCATATATAAAAAAGCCAATTAGTAAAAGTTATCTACCGGTATCTAAGGAAGCCAGCAGACTGCGTTGAATCTTCATTTAGTCACAGTCTCCCAACAACAAAGTAAGACATAACAAAAGTACAAAGTATAAAGTAAGACAACAAAGCATTAGGGGGTGAATACTTTTGAAACACAGTATGAGAACACAGGTAAAGAAAGATACAGTCAGAAAACTCTTTTGCAATTATTTTGATCTTTGAGATATAAAAGACCATTTTTCTAAATATTAGTATCATTTCAGCCATTGGAGGTCTTAAGTCAAACTGCAACAAACTGCCTGTGCGTATTTAAATGTGTGTATTTATCTGTATGTAAGGCTGACACATTGTCCAGTTTTAATACTGGGCATAAGACTTTTCTTTTTGATAAATCCTATAGTTAGGGTTGGCTTGTTATGCTGCTATAAGCTTAGAATACTGGAGGAAAAATGGACTACATTTCTTAAAAAGAATAGTTAAAATTGAATAGTTTCCATTTGATACTATTTCTATCCTAACCTGGGATTCTTGACCTGCCATTGTGTATCTGTTCCTCCTTCCTGTTCCTCTCAAACCCAGCCGGTAGAAGCAGCTTGTCCTGAGTCTGGTTCTGCCAAAGGTTTCTTCCTCATGAGGGAGTTTTCCCTTTCTACTGTCACCTTCATGCTCCTCAGATAAATAATGTTATTACGGTAACTTACTCTTTATGTATATGAATATTTCTGTTCAGTGCCCTGAGATGACTTCTGTTGTGACTTGGCATTATATAAATAAACTGAATTGAATTGAATTAAAGGTGCCTAAATGTTTATATAAATTCACATTTCCATTCGTAAAGGTAAAAATGCTTTTGGTTGAAGCAGTGCCTTTAGCCAGCACGATGAATTATGGTTTAACTCTAGTAACAACGCTGCAGTTCTAATAACATCAGCGTGCACATGTTTGAAGAGACAAGGTTATCAACATGTACAAGGTGATAAACAAACAAACAAAGGTTATACAGATATGAAGGATGATATGCAATACCTTCCCCTCCTTTATCTTCGTCGCTATGACTTGTTTCCTCTGCTGTATGATATTAATCAGCAGGTCACACTCTTCCAGCAGCTTGTTTTCTTGTCGTGATGCATTTACCTGGATAGAGCAGAAATAGCAGACGAACAGCAGTAAATAATGGTGCGTGCTCTGGGTTTTATTTTGACAAAATGTTCTTCTGCACACGTAGAAGGGTAGAAATCTTTATAGCGATCGATAAGAAGCAAAATCAATATTATACAGACAAAATAAGGCAGGAAACCAATATTTAAAAATGATCTAACCACCTGGTGTAGAGCAGCAATTTGACATTGTTGGGTCTTTCTTTTTTTGTTCCCGGTGCATCTATTATCTAATTTCTACAGCAACATAGTGTTCATATGGCCCTTTACAAACATCTAATGAAAGGACAGTTCAGGTCATTTGAAGGTGGGTTTTGAGGACATGCAATAAACTGCTAGTATCTCACCTGCTGTAGATAGCTCTTTGAACGACCTCAGTTGAAAGTCAGAGTTTAATTTGGACTGGATTGACTAGCTAATGTCTAGTGTGAGCATGGTCGAGACCAAAGTGGATTGGTCTGAACCAGGGGTTTGCAACCTTTACGATCAAAAGAGCCATTTCTGTCCCTTTGTTCACTAAATTAAATGTGTCCGGAGCCGCAATACTTGCTACAACTGTGCTTCTCAACTGGTGGCCCATGGACCACTTTCAGTTTGTTGGAGGGTGCTTTTTTCTGGCCAGTAGGGTTGACTTTAAAAAACTAAAAATATCTAATGATGTTTAACATTTATTGACATTTTTACATTTTAAGACAAAGTAAAAGTTGAGATTCTTGTAAACAAGGAAAAATAATACAGTTTTTGCCCAATTTATAAAAACTAAAACAATAAACTATGCTATATACTATTTTTTTTTACTGTAGAAAAATTACATATTCGAAGAAATAAAGCGTAAAGTGACAGTGAGTATGTTTTACTCCTTGTAATGTTTCCAGTATTCACATACAGTAGTCCCTCGTTTATCGCCGGTGTTAGGGACCACGCCCGCCTGCGATAAGTGAAAAACCACGAAGTAGGGAGACAGTAGTCCAAGATCAAGTTCAGTAAACTTTGTCATGACATGTGCCAGGCTGCAATCACACTCATCACCAGTTACTCCCAATCTTCCTCCTTAAATAAACAATTTAAAGTTAAATACTGTAACATTTTAAATAAGCAATCCGTACAGCATGGATTGTTTATTTAAAATATTACAGTATTTAAATTGTAGAGAAGAAAAGTGCAGCAGGACATCAGAGGGATGTCACACAGCTTCAGCTCTGCAGCACGGAGCACAAATGTACTTCTTGATCAATTACACTGAAACAACTCAACATAGAAGTTCTAAAATACTTAAAAATAACTTTTAACACTTTTATATTTTGTGATTACGATGATTTTACGATGCAACATACTTTGAATTTTAAGTTGGAAGACAAAAGTTGATCGGTGCATCTGGACAGCAAAGGGTTAACCTTCACAAAGATGCAGCAGGAGAAATGTGTGTGGCAGAGAAGGAAATCAGCTGATCAGCTGCAGGAGGGAGCTTCCCCCTGCACTTGTGGGCTGCGCACATGGTGCAAAATCATTTAAAATAATTTATATTAAATGAACAACCCATGGCTCATCCATCAATCAGTCAATTGTGTCATGTCCAATCTTACTTTGAAAATCTGCGATATAGCGAATCCACGATAAACGAGCGAGGGACTACTGTATTTCCAAATTAAATTACAGGAAAACTGCTAAAACTAGCCCCTTTACTTGTTATAACAACCAATAAAATTCAGTTTTATGTTAGTTTTGATCAAAGCTTGAAAGAGCTGCTGCAGAGGAACTAAAGAACCGCATGTGGCTCCAGAGTCGCAGGTTGCAGACCCCTGGTCTGAACCATGCTCACACTAGCCATTAGCTTGTCAATTTTATAATAATATGTATATACTGTATGATACAGCAAAACAGCAATCTATAGCAATGGCCTGGACAAGCAAGTGTTTTGTTTAACCTTTGACCCTGATTTATAATCTTGACCTTAAAGCTTGTGAGATGAAAAGTGTTTGCACTCTGTCTACTGATGATCCATGTATCAAGTTTCATTAAAATATCTTGAGCAGGTCAGAAGTGATGCGTGGGACAAAAGAAAGTTTACGGCTGTCCGGACAGAGATAATATGTTTGCCTTTTGACGTGCAAATAAAAAAAATTAAAAAACAAATGTTATTTAGACAGAATTCTACAGTTTTATGAATATAATTGGCTGTAGTATTTCTCCAAAATTTGAATATTTTTACCATAATGATAGGTTAATACATACCGGTAAATGGCAACAATGTTAGATTCATATATAAAGCGTTTACAAAAGTGTAAAAATGTTGAGCCTGTAGATGTTTAAATACAGCAGTGATCCACTTTGATGGACTCAAACTGGCTGGTAGATCATCAATCCGGTCAGAACTGTTTACAATAAGATAAGATGTTAATTGTTCATAACCTTTCCACAGAACCCCTCTTCAAGTACCCTGAGATATGTCATTGTTTACTGCTTTTCAAGGAATCATAAAATGCCATATTTCAAGATTTATGAATTTGTTAACTTACTTTTATGTTCAAAAAACAACAACGGTCATTTAAATGCATGATGCTGCTCATTTATAGCTAATATAGACAATCAGTTCTGTTGACACAGTTAATTGTTTCCTTCAGAGTCAATAATTAATTATGCTGTTAATAATTTAATGAGTTGTTGTGACCATTAAAATGCCTCCGAAACTTCCAGCTGAAAGCCGACAGATAAACAGCCTCACCTCCACGTTTTGGCAGGTTTGGATAAGCTTCCCCATCAAGCTTTCCAATTCACTGGTCCTCTTGATTAGATTACTGAGGTTGGAATCCAAAGCTTGCTGCAAAACAAAGTTGAAAAAAAACCAACAACTGTATTTAATTACATCTTTCCCATCTTTGAGCCGTGAGCAGCTGAATAAATATTGGAGAATGATTGAAACAAATGAATAATCACAGAATAAGAGTATTCAAACCTGAAGGTACTGAGCACAGGCTGCAACTGGATCTGACTGTCCACTTTTAGGCTCTGATTAGTATGAAGCCCCCTAAAGTCCTCCCTGCGGTGCACCAAAGATCCCATCACACAGTCTGCTGAAGTTGTGGAGCTTAGCAGAACATCTGCCAGTGATTTGGACAACTAAACTCAGGCTGTGTTAATCACTTACTGAGATCAAAGGCTTATGCTTCAAACTTAATCTCTGTCTGTAATTGGGTGGCAGGATGATGCTGTGCTCTGACTGTAAAACTATATCTATTATTCTTTTGAAATAAACACTTCTCACAGATTTAGAGCTTTATCAATAAATGTATAAATGCACGGATACAAACTGTAATTCTTTAGTACTTTGAGATGCTCTGAGCATCACATATTTTCAGCTTAATCAGTAATAAATATATATTTTTGTTATATATGCCTGTTCTTATTCAAATGCGTTAGTGAAAACTGCTTGATGCTGTGTAAAATGTGCTTTTTTTTTAAGTACTATCATTTGAAAATCTTACTTATCTATAAGTGTTAAAAAATAAGCTTCAGCAGCACATTTCAAACAAGTCAGAACAGCTTATAGTTGTAATTATTACTGTTATGCAGATATTAGTTCAAGGGATTGGCTGGTGTATTTTAAAGTGATGTTCTGTCAAATAAATATCGATTGTTTGTACCTTATTAGCTGGGAAAACAGTTATTGAGCACAGACTATGAAGAAAAAGGCAAACGTTTTAATCATTTTTAAATTTTATTTTAAATTCTAAAACAACTCTTTTTTTAATACAGACTTGCTTGAAACAATACTATGTAAGCTAAAGTTAAAGTGTTTTTGCATGAGACTGATTGTGTTGTTCGTTGCCATTGTCTTAACCAAACAAGCAGCGCAAACGTCTGCCTGATCAGTTGAAAAGTTTCAATTTTTTATTCATCTTTTCACTTTTTCTCAATTCGTCTTAATTGACCTCAAGCTCAAAAAAGGCGTCCTTAGATCTTTTGATGTATTTCAATTTTTTGATGAAAGAAATTCACTTTTAATTTTGCATGCGTCCAAAAGCTGATCATTAACAAAGTCAGGGTTTTCATTGATCCTTAAATGTCTTTAAAGTCAGAAATTATTTTTTATAAGCGTCAATTTCTCCAAAAACATCTTATATTCTGTTTTGACAAGTGTTTACAATCTCAAAAACAGCATTAATAAAATATTTAATATTTAAGAATAAGCTTTTTTTTGTTTTCCAGACACTTTAATTTTAGTATCTATGGTTTATTCATGTTTTGGCAGATGTCACAGGTTCAGGTTAGCAGCAAAAACACAATTTGTCAGAGTTTTGTGCAAATTTCTTTAAAAATGGTTGGAAAACAACGTTTGCAATTTGACTGAAACTGTCTCAAGGTTATTCAAGAAGGTTTTGTTTTACGCAACTGCACATAATTCAGTCTGAGTGCTGCCGAGCTTCGACACATCCACACAAATTTGTAGACGATCTAGATTTCACCAGCCAAACAGCAAAAAAAAAAAAAAACAGTTGTCATCATGAATCCAATTTGTTTCCGTCGAGGTAAGAGGGTCCTTACCCTGACTCCTGTCAGGAGAAGTTGATCAATTTTATTGAGAGACCAGCTGATTCTTCGAATTAGGAAGGTATGCAGTAAAAAAAAAAAAAAGAGTCTCTTTAAGGGTTCACAGGATGAAAGAGTGCAAGCAGGGAAGCACCAGCAGCAAAACTCACAATATCAGATCTGTGGACAAACTTCTGCTTCTCATCTACACTGACAGAATCTCTGTGGTGTCTGTGGAGTTGTACCACTCTCATAAATCATCAGTTATAGCACAAACAAATGCACGAGCAAAACTTTTCATACAGCGTTCTGCAACTTTAAAATTGCTGACAAAGTAACTTGAATCAAATACAAATCCTTTTATATAAATTCAAAATTATCCTGCAAATAAATTCACGGTCTTAAAAAAAAAACAGCATTTGTTTATTATTGGATTAAACATTTTAAATTTAACTACAAAATAAAACATCCAGATCTGAAAGTCACAAATGAAAAATTGCACAAAAGGTGAATAATGATCATTTATTGACACACTGAACACGTACTACTTCCTCTAATGGGCACATTCAATGATCATTAAAAGGTCATAGTATTTATTGCATGTTAATGTTAGTCTTTATTTCCAGTTCTTTGGGGATGGTTCCTGTTTGAAGGCTGCTCACCTGGTTGATTGTTAGCTCTTTCACCTCACAGCTATGTGGTTCGGCTCAGCTTTCCATGCAGATTGCATATTCTCCGTGTGCATACTGTACATGTGCAAACAAGTTCTCTGCTTTCATCACCAAAAATGGGCATGTCAGGTTAAATGGATAGTCTAAATTATAGGTGTCACTGTGAGCATGGATGGTGGTCTGTGTCAGTGTTGGTCATGTGACTGTCATGACAAATCCATGGTTTTCCCCGGCCTTTGCTCAACTGGTGATACATACAACCCTGAACAGGATAAAGTAGGTTAAAAAAATGGATGGATGAACTTTGTTTCTTTCACACACATAACTGCAGACAAAGTTCCTTTTATGTTGGAAGTGATCGAAATGTATATATTTTATCGCATTTTGTTCAAAACTATATTTTACAGTTTTAAGTTTTGTGGAACATTCTGACGATAAATGTGAATGAATATATTTAGGTTTAATGTCATATTTTGTCACATGCATATATAAAAGTGTTTCTGACTCATTTTTAAGTGACACATTACGGATATACACGGCAAAAAAGATGGACCCCTAAATGAGCAATTTTACAATCTCCAAAAATGGAGTGAGCAAAATGCTACATTTTTCGACGCTGAAAACAAGAACTTAGTTCAGGTTCTTGGATTTAAACATAACTCTCTTGATAAGTTAAGGTTTATTACAAATATTACTTACATTGCGCACATTTGAACACATTTGTCCACAACAGTCAAACGCAATAAAAGCTGCAAAAATCCATCGCCAGAGGCAAACAGTGGGGAAACTACTTTTATGTTAGGTATCTCATATTGTGATTTTATAAGGTGTGTGCGTCATTGTATACAAAAATAGCAAAGGCTTCATATTTCCACCCTCACGCATATGATTTATTCATGCTGAAAAGAATGTGATGAAAGCCATTCTGGATTTGCAGGTACAAGCGAGGTGAGTTCAACCTTTAAAAAGTGTGATATAAAGCATAATGTCTTCATCTTAAAATAGTCCAAAGTAAATGCTTTTAAGATTTCAGAGTGCTCTTTTTTTTTTTAAGTGTCATACAAATAAAATCAAGAGATGCAAATAAAATAAAATAAAAAAACCAAGGCAGCATGAGACACAGAGATTTTCTAAATGCACCTAAAGTGAAGTTTCTTCATCAGCATTAATCTTCCCCGAGTGTTTAGATCACTCTCACTAACAGAGATCTGTTTCCTAAATCATTTGAATCTGAAGAGAGGAACGAATAGCTGCTTCCTTTCATTGCTTCTGGCTCCGAACCTTTGAATCGGCCAGACTCTTTTCCTTCCTTTCGCAGTCCAGTCGGGGTCACTGTCAGGATCTGGAGTTTTATCCTGTGTCAACATTTAGAATTTTAGAAATCGGTTGCCTCTTTGTCCTGTGAGTTGCTCAGGTCCTGAGTTTTAATCCATTAGTTTATTATTATTATTATTATTATTATTATTATTATTATCTGAAACATATTGCATATAGAATAAAGTCATTTGGCTTGATAAGATTTGATTTGAGCTAAATGTATGTAACTTTTTTTTTATTTTTATAAAACTTTAGCGTACATAGATTTGATGTTCTATCATGCAATTGTTATTTTTATGTATGTATAAGATACAGCGCTCACCAAACACAAACTACTGCTGCACAGGAATGGCTCAAGGTGCAAGAGCTCAGAGCTTCCAAGGTGCAAAGATTTGATCAAACATTCATAAGACAAACCAAAAGAATATTGATACAAAGCCAACAACACACAGGACACAAAGAATTCACCAACACCAAAATCCTTTAATTATTCATCACAACATTCTAAAGTACATATAGTATGTTTTTTTTTTTGTTTGTTTTTTCCAGGGGTGTCCAAACTTTTTCATGTGTGGGCCAAAACTGTTAAGATGAAAGTCTGACAGGCCACAGAAATGTGAATTTAACTTCTTTTTTTTTTTTTCTAAAATTATATTTTATCATTTTTAAACTCAACAACAAAGGGGTAGAGGCAGGGCAGCCGGCTCAGGACCTGAAAGTCCCAGGTTCAATCCCCAGCCATTCCCACATGTCGTGGTGTCTCTGAGCAAGACACCCAATGTCTTGTTACTCCCCAGGCACATATCTAGCTGCCCACTGCTCCACCTGGGTGTATCCCAGGTGTGATGGGTTAAATGTGGAGAACTAATGTTGCCATTTTATAAGAACATGCTATGATGACAACACATAGCACATTACTTTACTTTACTAACTATATTTTAAAGATATAACTAAAGTTTAGTACTTTTAATGGAGAAGGAGTTCTACATTGTTGTAGATCCAAACTGTTAAAAACCTCATAAACATTAACCATTAACAGGTCTCTCTTGTAAATGAGTCCACGTGACTCAATGAGGCTAACCTGTATAAATAAAGGCTGAATGAATGAAACCTTGTATTTGGGTGATTCTTTTTTTGCGGCAACATTTTTTGTCCGCATGTTTCTCTGACCCTGATTTTTTCTAAAATGTGCCAAATATTTACAACAAAGTATTTTAATTATACATTTAGATGTTTGCAATCATTCAAATATAAATGAAATACATTTAAAATATTATTTTGTACTTTACACACCTTTTTGTTGACACACATGCTCAATTTCATTGTGTCCACAGTGCAATGTAATAGACTTCCTCAAGAAGTTTAAACTATAAAATAAAATAAAATGATTAATTTTTTGTTTTATTTGTCTGGACTCTTTTTGTTTTGTTTTGTTGTGTTTTTTTCTTGTCGTTGGAACATTCATTTTAGCCTATTCTCAGAAACAAAAGTGTAATATGAGTAACTATTATTTTAAAACTGACACTTAAAAGGGGATTGATCCCACTTTTGGGCCATCCATGGTCCAAAAATGGGATAAACGTAGTGAAAATTGGAGCCGCTGCCACTAAAACAGTTTCATGGAAGGTTTGAAGGAACACTAATAAAGCTGATCAGCTTGTGGGCAGATTATGCCATGGAGCAGCACAATGGATTAGTGGTTAGCACTGATGCCTCACAGCTAGAAGGTGCTAGGTTCAATCCCTGGCTTGGCCTGGGGTCATTATGTGTGGAGTTTGCATGGTCTCATCGGGTTTGTGTGGGGGTACTCCGGTTTCCTCCAACAGTCCAAAACCTGCATGTTAGGCTTTCTTCAAGTCCAGGCCTCTCGTGTAAAAGAGGTCAGTGATCTCAATGGGATTTACCTGGTTAAATAAAGGTTAACAGAACCATTAACATTCAATAATCCAGGTAGAAAGATCCAACAAAGTCAGGTCCTCTGGACCGTTTCTGTTGGTTGAAATGTTTTGTGTTTCATCCATAAGACTTAATCAGTCCAAGGAGCCATAACAAATTCAGTCTTAAATAATTTGATGAATTATAGTCAAAGACTTGTTTTGTACTTAATATTGCTAATTTTAAGATGACTTTTTTCCTTTGTTTTACTTTTAAACCTAAAATTGATATAAAAAGTATCCCCATTAAATTTGCAGAAAATTGTAGATTATGCCATTCTTAAATTGCAGTCGTGGACCAAACAAAATCACTTTAAGGGCCGTAAGTGGCCCTCGGGCCGCATTTTGGACACCCCTGTTTTATCACAAGGCTGATTTGAGACAGCTTGCAAATCAGTATTTGAAGTAAAAGGGTTTACACCACATTTGAATTGAATATTATAGTCTCTTTACATTTGCTCTTCAACATATCTTTGGTTCATTTGGGAGCAAAAGCAGGAAGAAGGGGGAAAGAAAAAAGGAGGAACCATAAACTTTATTACCAACTAAGAAAGCTGCAGAAGGCAGACAAAAAAAACAAGCTACTCTAATTAGAATAACAGAACAAGAGCCAACATGAGCCTGACAAAACCATCGTTGCTGTGAGCTGCAAACAATAACGATCTGGAAGGAAACCAGGAAGTATTTATACACAGCTCAGATAACGACTGACGAGAGGGAGGTATGATTACTACCAAATCAAGCAGGTGTGACACGGGGGCAGAAAACAGGATGACAAATTAATATGAAAACGAACCAAATAAAAAAACACAACACTATACAAAGAGCAAAAACGAGAGTTCAAAATTTGATAAACCCTAACACGTTGTACAGCGGTCCGAGTGGTATGAGATTAACTGTACATAGAAGGCAGTGATATACTTTCAATACACCAGAAAATGTAGATGCAGTGATGGTAATATGTTTACAGTGTGTGCACTCGTAAAATTAACTTAAAAGCTTTATACAATCAGTAACTGAATGAAAAGTGGTTTGTACTATCCTTACGAGTGATAATTTCTGCTTACTACCTCCCAAGTAAAATGGAGTAGTGTACATCAGCTTGTACATTTTTATGTTTTAATTGTTGTTTCCTCGTTTTTATTGAAATTAGGTAAACTCCACTTCTCCTTTTAGCTCGATTGTTTGAGTTAGGAGCTCTCTCTAACACTGTGGCTTCATGTAATATGAAGTCATACACACAATGATGGCTAGTTAATATTAATTAATATTAGTTAATATTAGCTAATATTTGTTAATTGGTTAATTCATTCAAAGAATGATGACAACAGTGGACAACAGCAACAACACTAGACAATAAGAAGCATACAGATTTATATTTTTTAAACAAATTAAAATAAGATGGCAAAAATAGCAGAAATAGCTAGATCTTAAGGTGAATGTAGAAAACTGAAAACAGGAACATTTCTGCAGTAGTGTTTATCAATTCGATTCCATTCAGTTTATTTATATAGCGCCAAGTCGCAAAAGAAGTCATCTCAGGGTATATGAAAAGTACCCTAGTAATAACATTATTTATCTGCTTTGAGTTTAACTTTAATCTGAATTAAACTTTAAGTCTGAACGTGAACTACATCTTCTATTTTAAATCAATGACAACTAGGGGTGTCCGGATACTGTTTCTTCAGCCCAAGTAAAAGTACAAATACCTAATTTTAAATACTTACAATGAGTCCTGATACAGAGTAGTTAGTGAGTTTAGTGAGTTAGCTTGGCCTACCTCATGTTAGTATAGAAGAATAAGATCAGTGTCAAAACAGCTGACATGATCAGCTTTGAGGAAAGTGGTTAATAAGTTATTTAACAGAAAGAGAAACGGTATAAATATATATATTATATCTTGACAAGTTATGTTGGTACAACAAGCTGTAAACAGATGAATAACTTATAAAAGTGCAGTAACCACTGTGGTTTGTATTTTTTTCTTTTTCTGAAGTATTCTGAAAGTCTTACTAATATTTTGTTGTTTTAATGCTAAACAAAAACAACATGCCGGTACTGACTTACGATATTTCCACATTGGCTTTACTTTTTGGACCCAGAGGCAATTTATTGATTTCTGGGACAATAAGATACAAACTTGATGTTGAGCCCATCAGTTCTTAGTTACAATTAACATGCTCACTATTTCAAAATGTATTTTTTTTGTTCTTTTTTGTATTGATTATTAACATAATGACTTATTTGGAAATTTGATGGTCTCAGTCAAAAGGTATCAAACTATAGCTAGTAATAACCGACAGAAACATAAAGAGAACTCTATTTATCTCCCTCTGGATCCCAATTGTCATTCATCATCAGGAGGATGTTGTTAAGCAACATTAGCACTCACATTAGCAACAAGATGATTAATAAGTACACAACAGACTCACAAAGCTGAACACAATAACTCACACAATAATAACTGCCAAGGTCACAGTCTCATTACTCAGCATTACAAAAGCAGTTGTGGCTATTTTCAGAGGACTTCACTCTCATTTCACAAACGTTTTTTTAATTTCAAAGTAATTTCCATGCAGCTGAATACAACCAATTTGCCCTGATCGTTTCCACATTAAAGAGACAATGCTGATCACCTGGTCTGACTCCCGGTGTGACTGATCACGCCCTTCACTGAGAAAGCAGCGTTGAAGAAGAGGCGTCTGCATGATGACAACATGATCAGACAAAACAGAGAAGTTAAGACTCATCCTCTCATTTCACATCCCAAAAATGTTCATTAAAAACTGGCTGCATCCAGATTCATTCACGACTAGCAAGCATTTTATTATTAAATGATGCATTTAGTGACTCATGCATGAAGACTGTGTCGATTCGTCCATTATGGAGTCTTTACCATGCAACAACTGCGTGAACTGCTGTCTTTTTCACTGAAATGAAAGTCTTCCTTCAGGAACATTGACTTATTCCCAGTTCTTCAACTAAATGAAACATTTGTGTTCAGCCTCATTATGAAGCTCATCTGCTTTTGTAGATCATAGAAGAATCCCTTGAAGCTGTGGCTGAAGCTACAATAAGACACCTAAGTGTTAGTTGGCAACATTTCTTTTGACTGCAGCTCATTTGAAATTTTAATGAAAGGAAAGCAGAGCCGCCTTTTTGACGCTCTGGCTCTCGGCAGCGCCTCATGTCTTATTGATGTCAGCACGGCTGCTGGAAGTGAGCAACTCCACTTAACCTAGAACTGGGAACTCCAGCTCAGGCACCGCTACGATTAGAAACAACAAAGATGGTTTTCAGCTCATCCAAACCATTAGACTGAAATTCAAAAGAAAAAAAAATCTATTTTGCCTTGTTTTGATGCTGTTTACTATGGGAAGGTTTGAATGTTTCGTAAAGCTCCACATTGTCAATTTTGCTAAAATATAACACGTCACAACTGATTCTAAACAAAAAACAAATATTAAACAGTACTCATGTGTGCGTCCATCTAGGCAAGAATCTTCAATATTCCAGCATCTCTATAATTAAAACATCTACAATGATTTTCATGAAATTTAGAGGAGAGTGAGCAAAAACTAATCTTGGAGGAATTTGCACTCATATTATTTGTCCTGCATCTTGTAGGCTTAATCATTTTGTTTTTGTTATAGCAGATGATTCACAAATTCTTTTAAAGAATCTAGTCAAGATAAAGTGCAAATAAACATCTAAAATAACTTAGCAGTTTCTGTCTACATTCATGATCTGTTTGTTAAACACGTTCTGGCCTTGATAAACTTCAATTTATGTGACGGGATCATGCAAACGCCTGCTTTTATCTACTATAAAATGACAATCAATAAGTTTTATTGCTTGTGCATGACTGAGATACTGTAGGAGGTGACAACAACTCAGTGACAAAAAGTAGAAATCAACTTTAACCTTGTGGGGAAAAAAAC